ACCAGTGCGAGCAGTACGAACAGGCGACGCAGGACGAGACTCAGGCTCACGACGCTCTGTAAGACCTCCTGTGGGACCAGTATAAGGAGAGGGAGCAGGGAGAGGCGAGGCAGGCGGGAACTGGGACTGCGACTGGACAGGCGGAGGACACGCTACGGAGGGAGGAGGACAAGGAGGAGGAGCCTGACCAAGAACCTGCTGAAGAAGTGGTACGAAGTACGGTCGCGGCCGCGCAGCGTCTCCAGAACCAGCAGCGACACCAGCGGCAGGGTCCTCAGCACCAGCAGCAGCTCCACCGTCCAGGTCCTCAGCACAAGCAGCAGCTCGACCGCTCGGGTCCTCAGCACCAGCAGCAGCTCCACCGTCCGGGTCCTCAGCTCCAGCAGTAGCTCCAACGCCCGGGTCCTCAGCACCAGCAGCAGCTCGACCGCTCGGGTCCTCAGCACCAGCAGCAGCTCCACCGACCGGGTCCTCAGCTCCAGCAGTAGCTCCAACGCCCGGGTCCTCAGCACCAGCAGCAGCGCCACCGCTGGGGTCCGCAGCACCAGGAGCACCACTCCGAAGACTGCAGCGCCGCGCGTACCACTCTCGGATCTGCTGAATGGGGGGGAGCTCCTGGGTAGGAGGGGAAGTACTGGTACGAGCTCCAGTAGCACCTCTCCGGAGGCGGCAGTACTGTAGGTACCTCTCCTGCAGCTGCTGGGAGGAGAGGGCTCCTCCAGGTGTAGCACGCTCAGGATCAGCACCTCCAGACACAGCACCCCCAGGCTCCGCACCCCCAGGCTCCGCACCCCCAGACTCAGCACGGTCAGGCTCAGCACCCCCAGGCTCAGCACCTCCAGACGCAGCACCCCCAGACGCAGCACCTCCAGACTCCGCACTCCCAGGCTCAGCACCTCCAGGCTCCGCACCCCCAGGCTCCGCACCCCCAGACTCCTCACGGGCAGGCTCAGTACCCCCAGCAGGACGAGAGTCAACAGCTACCTCGACAGGCTCAACCGGGTCTACCTGGGACACACCTGAGGGAGCGGCACCCTGAGGGGGGAGGGGGTCTGGTACCTCAGCACCTGGAGCGAGGAAGAGAGGCGGGGGGGGAGCGGGGCAGTGCGGTAGGGGAAGAGGCGGTAGTAGGGGACGGACTCGTCAAAAGTGACGTCCTGAGAGGCAAGGACACGACGCGAGGTGGCGTGGTAGAACTGCCAACCAGGCGCGTCCGGGACAAAGCCAAGGAAGACACAAGGGACAGCGCGACGGGAGAGCTTGTCCGCGGACGTGTCGCGAACAAAAGCTCGAGATCCCCAGACCCGAAAACGCGACGCATCGCCAGCCTCTCCCGTCCAACGCAGTGTCGGAGAAGTCTCCGGTAAGGAGACACGGGGCCAGAGGTTGAGCTGATGCGCAGCGTATTGGACTGCAAACGGCCACAGAAAGTGGGGGGCAGCCGCATGAACCAAGGAGGTACGAGCGACCTCCATGACCAAGCCAATGCGGCGCTCAGCAACCCCATTCTGCTGTGGAGAGGCCGGAAGTGTGAACGACTGCTCAATGCCCTCCTGCTGACAGAAGGCCTCCAAGAGGCCAGAGGAAAACTCCCCACCTCTGTCAGAGTGCAGACGCAGGACAGGGAAGTCGGAGCGGAAACGCTCACTGAGCTGGAGACGAGATCTGCGGATCCAAGGGATCAAGACATCAGGGACGTCACCCTTGGCGCGCAAGGGGAAGACCGTGGTGTAGCGCGAGAAGTCGTCAACAACAATCAGGAAGTACCTCTCCTGACCCTGACCACGGACGCGGGCTGGGCCCCACACGTCCATGTGGAGCGTCTGCAAAGGAGCAGTCGTCGGGGGGAAGGAGGAGGAGTGAGGAGCGGCGCGCTGCCGCCCCTCGACACAGGGAAGACAGGGAGGAGCAGGCGAGGGTGGGAGGGGAGGGAGAACCCTGGGAAGACCAGCAACAAGGTCCCGTTTGTGCATGGCCCGAAGGCGCTGCACAGACGGGTGACCAAGGCGGTGGTGCCAGAGGACAGTCTCATGCGCCAGAGAGCGACACGAGCAGGGGGCGGACAGCTGACCTGACGCAGACGCAGACGCGGACGCAGCGACCTGAGGGGACTCAGTGGTCAGTGTGTACAGGTCCGACCCCGGCTGCCGAGTGAAGGTAGCCAGGTGACGGCCCGTCCGAGCACACGTGCAGTGGGTCACGCGCTCGTAAGCAGGGGTGAACTGGTGGACACTCCTGTCCTGGAGCGCACCAAGTTCGTAGAGAACGAGGGGAGGTAGAGACCTGACAGTGTGCCTGACGGGACCGCAGGACAAGGAAGGACAGTGGAGGAGGTCGCAACGACCGGACCCCCAGAGGGGTCAGCGAGGGAGACAGCAACTGGCCGAGCGAGTGGCTCAAGGACAGTGCGGTCACGAAAGAAACAGCGAGAAGCACCTGAGTCCAGTGTGAAGGTGTGCAGTGCTGCAGTCGACTCAGTACCAGCGGGCACGGACGCACTAGCACCTAGAGCAGCAGCCTCACCATCACCTGAGGTGGCAGACACGCGAGCACCTGCAGTGGCGGTCTCACTAGCACCTAGAGCGGCAGCCTCACTCACACTACACGGCAGCTGCACCGGTCCGCGCCCAGAAGCTCCCGAACGACGCACTCCAGAGTGACTACCACGACCACCACCCCGAGAGCCCAAACTCGCGTACCACTCACGAGCCCGCTGGAGCGTAAGAGGACACTGCTGCTGCACCTGTCCACTACCAGATGCTCCCGAACAACGCACGCCAGAGCGACTACCACGACGGCCACCCCGACAGCCCCAACTAGCGTACCACGCACGCGCACGAAGCAGCTGGGGCGAAGGAGGGCACGGCAGCTGCACCTGTCCACTACCAGAAGCTCCCGACCGACCCACTCCAGAGCGACCACCACTACGGCCACCCCGACAGCCCCAACTAGCGTACCACTCACGCGCACGAAGCTGCTGGGGCGTGAGGGACTCACGCGCACGGCCCTGGAGCTGCATCTGGCCACGCCAGGAGCAGCAGTAGTAGCAGTAGCGGCAGCAACAGTAGTAACAGCAGGAGCTGTGGCAGTGGGAGTAGAAAAGGCAGTAGCAGCAGTAGCAGCGGTAGCAGTGCTGGGCAATGCTCACCAGTGGTCGGCGCGGCAGGCGCAAGACGGTGGCGACAGCGGGGCCGCTACAACTGCAGGGCTGGGCCGGGCCGCAGCAGGGAGCTCCGCGGCAGCTGCTGCAGGGCGAGGCCGGGCCGCGACGGCAGCTGCTCCAGGTGCCAGGGGCGGCTGCTGCAGTGGCGGCGGCTCCAGGGGCCAGGGGCGGCTGCTGCAGGTGCGGGCTGCTCCAGGGGGGGCTGCTGCAGTGGCGGGCGGCTCCAGGGGCTGCTACTGCAGTGGCGGGCGGCTCCAGGGGCTGCTGCTGCAGTGGCGGCTGCTCCAGGGGCTGCTGCTGCAGTGGCGGCTGCTCCAGGGGCGAGAGGCGGATTAGGTCAGGGCGACGCGGCGGGCAGGTGGCGACGCCGCGGGCAGGGCGACGCGGCGGGTAGGTGGCAACGCCGCGAGCAGGGCGACGCGGCGGGCAGGTGGCGACGCCGCGGGCAGGTCGACGCGGCGGGCAGGTGGCGACGCCGCGGGCAGGTCGACGCGGCGGGCAGGTGGCGACGCCGCGGGCAGGGCGACGCGGCGGGCAGGTGGCGACGCCGCGGGCAGGTCGACGCGACGAGGGCAGGCGACGACGCCGCGGGCAGGCGACGACGTCGCGGGCAGGCGACGACGCCGCGGGCTGGCGACGACGCCGCGGAAAGCGGGCCGCGCGCGGGTGGCTAGCAGGCCGTGCGTGCGCGGTAGGGAGAGGCGCACGAGGGCGCAAGAGCGCACGAGGGCGCGCGGTAGGGAGAGGCGCACGAGGGCGCGAGGGCGCACGAGGGCGCGCGGTAGTAAGAGGCGCACGAGGGCGCGAGGGCGCACGAGGGCGCGCGGTAGTAAGAGGCGCACGAGGGCGCGAGGGCGCACGAGGGCGCACGGTAGTAAGAGGCGCACGAGGGCGCGAGGGCGCACGAGGGCGCACGGTAGGTAGGTAGGTAGGTAGCGGTGGGCCCTAAAACGGTCCTAGTGAAGGACCTGCTCTGATACCATGTCAGAATGAACGGACAGGAATGATTGAACTAACAGTGAAATCAGTACAAGTACCTAACCCTAGAATTGTGTACCCCCTATAGGCTAACCCACTGTAGCCTAAACAAACACAACATATATAATGCTTGACATTGTTTTCCACAGCGCATTACCCTACAAAGCTTTGTACCCCCGAAACTTCTGGACTGATTATTGCGCAATCTTCAATATCAGAAATTTATGTTCGTGACCCCATATGACCGCGCCTGATTGGACGCGCATTGCCAGAAAAAGCACTGCGCATATATTCGACCAATCATGCGCGGTCATTAAAGGACCCGCGCATTGACGCCCGGGCATTGCAGTTTATGATCGCAAAAATATATGATCGGGCATTGATATATGATGCGCCCGACCATTAATGGCCGCGCATGATTGGTCGATTATCTGCGCGTCCAATCAGGCGCGGTCATATAGGGTCACGAACATAAAATTCGAATATTGATCATCGTGCAAAAATCAATACAAAACTTTCGAGGCTAAATACCCAAGAAGGGTAATGTGCGACGTTGAGAAGCCCCTGGCGAGGGCACTCGAGCAATTATCAGTGAATTGTAGGACCACGCGAGCAAATGGTGGCCACGTGTGCAACACCGAATCACGAAACAAGGGTCTGGAGCAATTCTCTCTGGTTCAACACTTCCCCATCCATCACCTCTTCCCACTCATTCTGCTTGCCGTGCTTCCTGCTCCGCATCCCAGTTCCTCGGCATACCTTCGTCTGCAGCAGCCCCACATCGCGTGGAAGATTTCTTTACGAAAAGGCCATGGACGCGACGATCGTTCCGCCTGAAGTGCCACGAGATCTGAAACGAATGAAAGGCGCACTTCAGCCGGGCAAGGATTTCACCAACCGTTTGCCCGACGACGTGCTCTCCGCAATTCTCGACCGCGCCTCTTCGAGTAACGCGATGTACCACGCGCTCGTGTGCCGACGGTGGCCGCGCCTGGCGCAGCACTTGCAGCAGGCCGTCCACGTCAGCGCCAAGTCCATCCTCGACGCGGGCGAGCTGCTGCGCGGCTTGTCGAGACTCCCCAACGTGACATCCCTCACGCTAGACAACGAGAGCGTCGACTTCCTCGACGACGAGTTCCTGACGGCGCTGCCCTCCGCCTGCCCGCAGCTCTCCCGCCTGCGCCTGGACGAGCCGCAGAAGTACACCGACGTGCCACACCGCCGCATTTCGCTCAAGGGCCTTCGCCGCTTCCTCCTCGGAATTCCGCGCCTCGAGGAGCTCACCCTCAACAGCAGCCTCCTATACATGAACACCTTCCCTTCCTCGCTCGCATCGCTCTCGTCCCTTCGCGTGCTCAAGATTCACGAAGGCCTCCGTAATCTTCTCGACGAGTTCGGCGCGCTCGGCGCGCTGGAGGAGCTCCGCATCAGCTGCTCCGTGCTGCGGAGCCTCCCCGCGTCCGTCACGCAGCTCACGCGGCTGTCCCGCCTCTGCGTGACAGAAACCTACTGGATGGAGCAGTTTCCCGCGCAGCTCGGCGCGCTGAGCGGGCTGACGGCGCTGGAATTACACGGGTCTGACCGCTTGGCGGCCATTCCGGAAAGCATCGGCGCGCTCAAGGAGCTGCGTGTCAGAATGAACGGACAGGAATGATGAACTAGCAAGGATTGTGAGTACAAATATGAAACCCTAATGCTGTGACCCCCCTATAGGCTAACCCACTACAGCCTACACAAATACAACATGTATAATGTTTGACACACCCCCATAGGCAAAGTGGGGGAGACCTAGGGGTCACAAGACCAGTCAAGGCAAAACAAGGCAACAACAAGCTCAGGGTGGATCTCAAGGATTCCACACAAATTCCGAGCACAAGCTAGTGGTCACAAGACCAGTTCACATGCAGGTTTATAACAGAGCAAGAGATACAGTGATCACAACCTAGCAAGAGTAAACATGCAGGTATAGATATATATAGTGATCACAGTACAAGCAAAGTCAAGAGGTAAGTAAGTGAGGTCCAGTAGGCACAAGGCCTAGTAGAGTGCAGAAGCGCTGATGGTCACGAGGCTGAAGCGCCTTGGTGAACACATCAGCAGTGTTGGCCTCAGTGGCCACGTAGCGAATACAAAGCTGACCGCGCTGCTGCAGCTCACGAGCAAGGAAGTACCGCAGGGCGATGTGCTTCGTTCTGTGCTCCAGTCTGTGCTCCTCACACAAGGCAATGGCAGCCTTGTTGTCGACGTACAGGACTGGAGGAGAACGAGGCGGCTCTCCGAGGTCGGTCAGCAGGTAGGTCAGCCAGCGTAGCTCCAGGGAAGCCATGGCTGTAGCGTAGATCTCAGCCTCGCAACTGGAGCCGAGAACAGAAGAAGAGCGTGTAGAGCGCCAAGAAACTGAGCCAGAGCCAAGGCTGAAGGTGTAACCCTGAGACGACCGCTGAGTGGCCTGGTCGTCTGCCCAAGAAGCGTCTGAGTGCCCTGTGAGAACAACTCGGTCTCGCCCTCCAAGCACAAGCCCCATGCCCGACGTACTGCACAAGTAGCGCAACACCCTCTTAGCGGCATCCATGTGCTCCTTTCTGTGACGGCCAGGAGCGACATAGCGTGCAAGGATGCTAAGAGGGTATGCAAGGTCAGGTCGAGTGCAGGTCATCAGGTACATGAGGCAGCCCACAAGCTCTGGATACAGGCCACTCGGCTCTACGGACTCATCCGAAGGCAGAGCTGAGAGCGAGTGACCGGTAGGCAGAGGAGTGGACTGAGGCGAGGAGTACGTGAAGCCGAAGCGCTGGAGAACCTGCTGCACCATGTGTGACTGAGTCAGGGTGATGGTGCGCCGTGCTCTGTCCCGGGTGATCCGCAAGCCAAGATAGCTTGTCAGGTCACCCAGGTCTGTGCACGTGTGTCTCCTCTGCAGCTCTGACTTCACGTAGGCGAGTCTTGCAGTGTCAGCAGTGGCAAAGACCAAGTCGTCGACATACACGAGGATGTAGAACGGCGGTAGCGAAGTGTCGGTGCGCAGGAACAGCGACGGGTCAGCTGTAGAAGGCGCGAACCCAAGAGCCGCAAGTGTAGTCCTCAGTGTGTCGTGCCACTCACGCAGAGCCTGGCGGAGACCGTAGACCGGCCGCTGAAGCCTCCACTGGGTACCAGGAGGAAACGACCCAGTGAAGCCAGGAGGGCGGCGCAGCCAGATCTCCTCGTGCAGGCTGCCCTGCAAGAAAGCAGTGCTGAAGTCAAGTGAGTGAAGCTCGTAGTCGCGGTGAGCGGCTATGTGCAGCAGCACCCGAAGAGTAGTCATCTTCGGGGTGGGGGAGAAGGTCTGGAAGAAATCAACTCCCTCTCGCTGACTGAAGCCTCGAGCCACGTAACGTGCCTTGAAGACAGGCGGAGAACCCGGCGGCCGCTTCACCCTGAAAATCCACATGCCACTGACAATGTTCGCCCCAGGAGGGGGAACCTCGTCGACGTAGGTGCGTGTGGACTTCCAGGAGGCCATCTCTGCGTCCATAGCTGTCTGCCACTGAGAGGAGTAGGGACCCGCCATCGCCTCAGCGTAAGTGCGCGGGGTCGGGATGTCTGGTGCATCCGGGTCTCCCTCAGGGGCAACTAGCAAGGACACGAGACGGGGCAAAGCAGCAGCAAGACACTGGAACTCCTCCTGTCTGTCCTCAAGGACGTCCGTGCCAAGAGCACACTCACCCCCGACGGACGGAGGACAGACAGACTCAGACTCAGACTCAGCAACAAGGCTAGCAGCGTAGTCTAGATGACAGGCAGCAGCAAAGTCAACCAACTCAGCGACCAGAGCAGACGCAGTCGAGGACTCAAAGGTAGGGTCAGTGACAACAGTAGCGAGGAGACGCGTGACAGTAGGGTGCTCAGCACGGTACCGGTCAGACTCAGGGTCCGGAACGTGAGGCAAAGAAGACGCAGGAGGAGACGGTAGAGGGACACGCTGAGGAGCAGTAGAGGGACGCAGAGTCATGTAGTGAGTGCCTGGGACAGGAGGAGGACGCTCACGACGGACACGACTACCAGTGCGAGCAGGACGAACAGGCGACGCAGGACGAGACTCAGGCTCACGACGCTCTGTAAGACCTCCTGTGGGACCAGTGTAAGGAGAGGGAGCAGGGAGAGGCGAGGTAGGCGGTAACTGTGACTGCGGCTGGACAGGCAGAGGACACTCTACAGAGGGAGGAGGACAAGGAGGAGGAGCCTGCCCAAGAACCTGCTGAAGGAGCGGTACGAAGTACGGTCGCGGCCGCGTAGCGTCTCCAGAAGCAGAGGAGACTCCAGCGGCCGGGTCCACAGCACCAGCAGCAGCTCCACCGGCCGGGTCCTCAGCACCAGTAGTAGCTCCAACGCCCGGGTCCTCAGCAGCAGCAGCAGCGCCACCGCTCGGGTCCTCAGCTCCAGCAGCAGCTCCACCGTCCGAGTCCTCAGTACCAGCAGCAGCTCCACCGTCCGGGTCCTCAGCACCAGCAGCAGCGCCACCGCCCGGGTCCTCAGCTCCAGCAGCAGCTCCAACGTCCGAGTCCTCAGCACCAGCAGTAGCTCCACCAGGCGGGTCCGCAGCACCAGCAGCAGCTCCCACGTCCGGGTCCTCAGCACCAGCAGCAGCGCCACCCCCAGGGTCCGCAGCACCAGGAGCACCACTCCGAAGACTGCAGCGCCGTGTGTACCACTCGCGGATCTGCTGAATGGGGGGGAGCTCCTGGGTAGGAGGGGAAGTACCGGGACGAGCTCCAGCAGCACCTCTCCGGAGGCGGCAGTACTCGAGGTACCTCTCCTGTAGCTGCTGGGAGGAGAGGGCTCCTCCAGGTGTAGCACGCTCAGGCTCAGCACCCCCAGACGCAGCACCCCCAGACCCAGCACCCCCAGGCTCAGCACCTCCAGGCTCCGCACCTCCAGGCTCCGCACCTCCTGGCTCAGCACCCCCAGGCTCCGCACCCCCAGACTCAGCACTCCCAGGCTCAGCACCCCCAGACGCAGCACCCCCAGGCTCAGCACCCCCAGGCGCCGCACCCCCAGGCTCAGCACCCCGAGCAGGACGAGAGTCAACAGCTACCTCGACAGGCTCACCCGGGTCTACCTGGGACACACCTGAGGGAGCGGCACCCTGAGGGGGGAGGGGGTCTGGTACCTCAGCACCTGGAGCGAGGAAGAGAGGCGGGGGGGGGGAGCGGGGCAGTGCGGTAGGGGAAGAGGCGGTAGTAGGGGACGGACTCGTCAAAAGTGACGTCCTGAGAGGCCAGGACACGCCGCGAGGTGGGGTGGTAGAACTGCCAACCAGGGGCGTCCGGGACAAAGCCAAGGAAGACGCAGGGGACAGCGCGACGGGAGAGCTTGTCCGCGGACGTGTCGCGGACAAAAGCTCGGGATCCCCAGACCCGAAAACGCGACGCATCGCCAGCCTCTCCCGTCCAACGCAGTGTCGGAGAAGTCTCGGGCAAGGAGACACGGGGCCAGAGGTTGAGCTGATGCGCAGCGTATCGGACTGCAAACGGCCACAGAAAGTGGGGGGCAGCCGCATGAACCAAGGAGGTACGAGCGACCTCCATGACCAAGCCAATGCGGCGCTCAGCAACCCCATTCTGCTGTGGAGAGGCCGGAAGCGTGAACGACTGCTCAATGCCCTCCTGCTGACAGAAGGCCTCCAAGAGGCCAGAGGAAAACTCTCCACCTCTGTCAGAGTGCAGACGCAGGACAGGGAAGTCGGAGTGGAAACGCTCACTGAGCTGGAGACGAGATCTGCGGATCCAAGGGATCAAGACATCAGGGACGTCACCCTTGGTGCGCAAGGGGAAGACCGTGGTGTAGCGCGAGAAGTCGTCAACAACAATCAGGAAGTACCTCTCCTGACCCTGGCCACGGACGCGGGCTGGGCCCCACACGTCCATGTGGAGCGTCTGCAAAGGAGCAGTCGTCGGGGGGAAGGAGGAGGAGTGAGGAGCGGCTCGCTGCCGCCCCTCGACACAGGGAAGACAGGGAGGAGCAGGTGAGGCTGGAAGGGGAGGGAGCACCCTGGGAAGCCCAGCAACAAGGTCCCGTTTGTGCATGGCCCGAAGGCGCTGCACAGACGGGTGACCAAGGCGGTGGTGCCAAAGGACAGTCTCATGCGCCAGAGAGCGACACGAGCAGGGGGCGGACAGCTGACCTGACGCAGACGCAGACGCGGACGCAGCTACCTGAGGGGAGTCAGTGGTCAGTGTGTAAAGGTCCGACCCCGGCTCCCGAGTGAAGGTAGCCAGGTGGCGACCCGTCCGAGCACACGTGCAGTGGGTCACGCGCTCGTAGGCAGGGGTGAACTGGTGAACACCCCCGTCCTGGAGCGCACTACCTGCCACCAAGTTCGTAGAGAACGAGGGGAGGTAGAGACCTGACAGCGTGCCGGACGGGACCGCCGGACAAGGAAGGACAGTGGAGGAGGTCGCAATGACCGGACCCCCAGAGGGGTCAGCAAGGGAGACAGCAACTGGCCGAGCGAGTGGCTCAAGGACAGTGCGGTCACGAAAGAAAGAGCGAGAAGCACCTGAGTCCAGGGTGAAGGTGTGCAGTGCTGCAGTCGACTCAGTACCAGGGGACACGGACGCACGAGCACCTAGGGCTGCAGCCTCACCAGGACCTGTGGGAGCAGACGCACTAGCACCTAGAGCGGCAGCCGGACTGGCCTGAATGCCCGGGTCGGGCGGAACACGCAAGTACTGAGCACCCTCTCCACTAATAGACATCGCATACATGGCAGTGAGAATAGCATCAAAGTCTAAAGCCCAAATATCAACACCCCTCTTTTCCAGATCAGCCCAGCGCGGCAGCTCAGTGGCAGCAGGAAACTGAGTGCGCCACGCGTCGTTAAGGCGCGCGAAGCAGCGCTGCGTGGGGTGCGGCCTCCCACACTGCTGGCCGCTGCGGTCACCTGTGCGAATGACGTACGTGCAGGTAAAGCTACGCTGCGCATACCACTCACGGGCGGCCTGAAGCGTCGGGGCGGGCTGCTGACTCTGCCCTCCGCCAGTGCCTCCACGACCACCACCCCCACCGCCGCCGCCCCGGCCACCTCCACCCCTGCCGCCGCCACGACCACCTCCGCCTCCGCTGCTGCCTCCACCACCACTCCCACCGCTGCTGTCTCCTCCCCCACTGCCGCCACTAGTCTCCCCAGCCGCGCCTCCACTCCCACCGCCTCCACCCCCACCTCCTCCGCCGCCACCCCCACCCCTGCCCCCCTTGTTCCTGCGGCGCCCACTCGAAGCAGACGCGGTCCCGACCTTCTCAGCACCAAGAAGGTCGACAGCAGCAGCAGAGGCGACAGAGGGGAGGAGGGGGGAAGGGGAACACCCCTCAAAGAAAGGGGTGCGGGGGTCGCCACGAGAGGTGCCTACAGCGACGATGCTCGCCTCAGCTGCAAGCAGTTCCTTCTCGAGGAGGGCAACAGTGAGCTCAGTGGGGGAGCGAGAGAGGAAGTGGTCCCTGACTGCGCGCAGAGAGTCAGGAAGGCGGGTGACGATGTGGTAGAGAGTGATCCAGAGCGGGGGGGGGTTGCTAGTGAGAAACTCGGCAGGCATAGCAGCGCGAAAGCGGGCCTCACTAGTCTTAAGGTGGGTGATGAGGTCTGCGACAGTGTGAAAGGAGGCTAGGTCGGGGAACAGGTAGGGGAGAGTGAGGCGGCCTAGCGTGGCAGAAGCTGGCGAGGAGTAGCGGGCAACTACAGCGGTGTAGAGGTCCTTAGCAGTCTTGCACTGGCCGAAGTGCTCGCGCTCGTCTAGCGGCAGGGAGTTGCGAATAGCAAAGCGAGCGTGCGCATCACGGGTCTGCCACTGGGAACGCAGAGTGCTGTCAGCAGTCGAGTCAGGGGCAGTGGCATGGCCTAGGGCGTGGTCGTACAGTGAGATATCTTCCTTGGCAGTGAGCTGTAGGAACAGGTGCAGGTCATCTAGCCAGGTTTCGAACTTCACTGGACGGCCCTCGGCATCGAAAGCTAGAACTGGCGGACTAGCCATAGTGACAGTAGCAGTAGTAACAGTAGTAGTAGGAATCAGGCCGCTGGAAAGGTGTGCGGAGGGTCAACGGGGCCGGCGGGGCCGCTAGGCAAGGCGCGGGCGGGGTCGACTGTCCGTAGTGGCACACGAGCGGCAGTAGTAGGTAGCGTGGCAGCAGGAGCTGCAACGGTGCACTGGTGGCAGCTGCAGTGGCAGCAGTGCGCGCGGTAGGTAGAAGGTAAACAACAGTGAGAGCGAGTGCCTCGCGGGCGGCGGCTGCAGAAGCGCACAGGCGGCAGCGGCGCACTGGGAACGGCGGTGCACGGGCAGCGGGAGCGCACGGGCAGCGGCAGCGTAGGAGCAGCGACGGCGCACGGGCAGCGGCGGCGCACAGGCAGCGGCGGCGCTCGGGAGGCAGCAGTGCGCAAGCAGCAGCGGAAGCAGCGGCGTACGAGCGGCTGCGGGCAGCGGGGCGTGCGCTAGCAGGCGACGGGCGGCTGCAGGGCGTGCGCGAGCAGGCGACGGGCGGCTGCGGGCGGGCGGCCGCTGCGACAGCGGGCTGCGGGCCTGCGGGACGTGCGCGAGCAGGCGACGGGCGGCTGCGGGGCGTGCGCGAGCAGGCTACGAGCGGCTGCGGGGCGTGCGCTAGCAGGCGACGGGCGGCTGCGGGGCGTGCGCGAGCAGGCGACGGGCGGCCGTGGGGCGCGCGCGAGCAGGCGACGGGCGGCTGCGGGGCGTGCGCGAGCAGGCGACGGGCCGCGCGCGAGGGAAATAAGGCGCGCGCGGGAAAAAAAAGGCCGCGCGCGAGCGGCTAAGGGGCGGCGCGACGGGGCCTTAAGGGGCGGGTCGCGGGTCGCGGGAGGTAGGGGCCGTAAAAAAAAGTTCGAGGCGCCCTAGGTAGGTAGGTAACGGTGGGCCCTTAAAAAAAAAACGGTCCTAGCGAAGGACCTGCTCTGATACCATGTCAGAATGAACGGACAGGAATGATGAACTAGCAAGGATTGTGAGTACAAATATGAAACCCTAATGCTGTGACCCCCCTATAGGCTAACCCACTACAGCCTACACAAATACAACATTTATAATGTTTGACACTGCGCCGCCTGCACCTGCGCTACATCAAATGCGCGCTGCCCGACGTAGGGGAGGAGTGGCGGAAGCTGGAAGAGTTGCGCTTGGAGAGCGTCGACTGTGTTTACCTTCCGCCCATCTCCCTCGAGTCCCTCGCGGTCCTCACCATCCGCCACTGCCGCAGCCTCCGCGCGCTCCCCTACGACATCGGCGCAGCGCCATCCCTCCGCGAGCTCGAGATCGTCAACACGCTGATCGCCGAGCTTCCCGCGTCGATCGGGATGCTGACGTCATTGCAGCGGCTGGAGCTGGCTCCAGACGGATTGGTGAGGGAGCTGCCCCCCTCGCTGCTGGCGCTGCCGCGACTGGCGCACGTGGTGCTGGAGAACGTGTCGTGCCTTCCTTCGCTGACGGAGGGCGACGCAGAGGCGGATGGAAGTCGCCAACCCGCCGCGCGCCTCTCGCCGCTGCAATTTTTTTCCCTCAAGTGCTGCTACAACCTCACCCATCTCCCCATTATCCTCGCTGCTCTCGTGTCCTTGTTGCGCGCGCTCACGCTCGCCGACCTCCCGAGTTCTACTCCTTGCCCGCCGAAGTCTTCCGCCTCTCCGCGCTCACCTCCCTCTCGCTCCTCCGCCTGCCGCACGTCGAGTTCCTCCCCCCCGCGCTCTCCGTGCTCTCCGCCCTCCGCGCGCTCAAGATCACCGGCGCATCCAAGCTCGCGGCGCTTCCCGAATCTCTGAGCGAGTTGGCGGCGCTCGAATCGCTGGAGCTCGACGACTGCAACGCGCTGCGGAGCCTGCCCGCGTCGCTGGGCCGCCTGACGGCGCTGCAGAGCATGGTGCTGCGGTGCGTCGCACTCGCCGCCATGCCCGCCACCATGGGCGGGCTCAGCGCGCTGACGCACCTTAGCGTCACCAAGTGCGCCGCGCTCACGGCGCTGCCAGATGACCTCGGCGAGCTGGGCCGGTTGAAGACTCTGACAGTACGGAGCGCATCCATCGCGACCCTCCCAAACACGCTGAGCGGGCTGGCCCGCCTCGAAGAGCTACACATTTTCAACTGCCCCCTCCTCGCCGCGCTCCCCGACGCCATAGGCCAGCTGCCCGCCCTCAAGCGCCTCTACCTCGGCTACTGCTCCGCTCTCGCCCGCCTCCCCACGTCCCTCCCGCGCCTCCCCGCGCTCGAGGCCCTCGACATCGAAAGCTGCCCGCTGCTCACGCACCTCCCCGACGACTTCGGCCCGCTTCCTCGCCTCGCGCGCCTGTCCGTCCACTTCGGCGCCTTGTCCCGCCTGCCCGCCTCGCTCTCCCGCCTGCCCGCGCTCCGCATCCTCGATCTTTCGTCCTGCGCGTCTCTCTCCGCGCTCCCCCCCGACCTCGCGGCCCTCCCCGCGCTGCACTCCCTTGTGCTCCTCGGATGCTCCGCGCTGGCGGAGCTGCCCGCGGGACTGGCGCGCGCGCGGGGGCTGCGCCACTTGGACGTGCGCGGGTGCCCGGCGGTGGGGGAGGACACGGAGCTGGGTGTACGCGAGCGGCGCGTCGACGTCAAGTTGGGACCCGAAGGGAACATAGGGGCGATTTACAGGGGGAGACGCCTGCAGCAGGTGAGGAGGGGAGGCAAGAGCGATGAGGGAAGGAAGGCAGCGGGAGGAGAGGCCGTGACGAGGGTTGAAGAAGGGGCAGAAAGAGGAGGGGGCGGGTTGGATGGAGCAGCAACAGTCGAATCCGGGACGGACGCACAGAGTGAGAACAAAGATGGGGGGCGGGTGGAGGAGGTGGAAGGTGAGGGGGAGAAGGATTGTGTGGGAAAGGAGAGTGAGATGCGGCAAGGGGGAAACAAGGGGAAACGAGGGAGGAGAGGAGGAATGTGTGGTGGGAGGAAAAGGGGGAGGAGGTGTGGGCGACTGGGGAGGAGAGAATAACGGGGTAGGAGGCCGACGGGATTGGAGAAGCTGAGGGAGAGCACATAGATGGAAGCGAGGTTGGGCAGTGCAAAGGGAGAGACTGAGGTTGGAGAGGAGGTGAAGTGGTGAATGGGTGAGGGGAGGAGGGAGGGAGTGAAGTGAGGGAGGGGGATGAGCAGGAAGGAAGGAGGAGCGGGCGCGCAGGCAGGGCTTGGGGAGGATGGGTGTGCTAGGTGGGGCGCGGAGTGTTTTGGGCGAGCAGGCAGCAGAGGCGAGTTTGAACAGGGAGGTCAGGAAGCAGGGAGCAGGGAGGGGCGAAGAGGGGGAGGGCAGGAAGGCGGGAGAGCGAGGGAAAGGACAGGTGAGGCGTGGGCAAGCAAGGGCGGAAGCGGGAGCAAGGCAGGCTACGGGAGAAGAGTTGGAGAAGGGAGGTGAGGGCCGGGGTGTGGCTCAGCAAGTGAGGTGCCAACTGTCTCTGATCTGAAGTGAGGGCTGCAGGCCCTCACTTAACAAGGCTGAAGTGAAGGCAAGCTGCTGCTGGTGTGCTGTTGCCGGTTCCTAGTCAGAACATATTCTTCATACCATGCTGCCTCTCTCATGTAGTTCCTTGTTGGTGGATTAAACATTGCCTACCAGTGTAGATGTTTCAGTGGGCTACTACTAAGGGTACATTCCGCTGTGGACATGCGTCCCAATCGATGTGTCCCAATCGGGTGTACCGCTCCGAACCGCACTAAACCAGAGAAGCGAAAATTTTGAAACTAGGGTGTAATTCGGTGTAATAAGATTCAGTGCGGTAGAATCGATTGGGACGCATGTCCACAGCGGAATGTACCCTAATGCCTAGCACTGTGTGCCAATAAGGGAAACCACTTACCGTCATCGCCCGGATATAAGACATATATGTCTTATCTCGTACACGGGCAAAAATGCTTACGTTATCTTGTAAACGGGATGCTTCAGGGTGTCTTATAAATCTTATAAATGGAAACTTTTTAAACTACTTAGAAATATTTTCTGCACTTCTTGAAAAAGAGTTCCTCATAATGAGTGTGGATGTTGCGAAGGTGCCACTTCGGCAACCACTGCCTGGGACGCCACGTCATGGAGAACACCTGCAGAGGCAAATTTGGTAGGTCCTGGGTCAGCGCGTGGAGAAATTCGCGCTTCACAAGGGTTAAAATGTACGCGTTATTTCAACTTTCGCTATAATATATTGAAGTTTCGATTATAAGACATATATGTCTTATCTCGTACACACAAATAGGTGTCTTATAATGAGGCTAGCCTGTTTATAAGAGACACCCGTATAGTAGACAACCCCTGTCTACTATTCAACACTGTCTTATATCCGGGCGTTTACGGTAAAACCAGGGTCTCACGTAGATAATTTGTTTTGCAGTTGATGGAAAACCCCCGTTTCCTATTGGCTGACGAGGTTGGGAAAACGAAAACGGGTCCAGCGAGGGATGCGAAGGGAACTAAATCGTTTGCTGCGTTCCAAACCTTCTAGGTATGGAAACAGGTTCGGAGCCGAAGCTACAGTGCCAGTGAAATGTCAAGGGTTGTCGAAAGTCTCATGTACCTGAAATTTGTTTTGCAAATGGTGCTGAGGCAAAATCGGGGGTGTGTCGCACGCCAACTTTCCAAGCCAACCAGTCCACCTCGCCTATAAAACTAGGTAACTCAAGTCTCAAATGTTTTGCAATTGATAGCAAAACCTCTTGAGACCCTGGTTTTAAATGTACAAGTTAACAGCATAGCACTGCAAGATGATTCGGCCTCTCTGTTGGAAACATTTATTTTAACCCAATGGCCTCAACCCGATGTCTTTGCCCCCAGCAGTCAGGTCAGTTTGCACTCTGCCTGCACCAGTGCCACGCGCGGTTGAAAAGGGGAAACTGACACAACACACACACTCTTGTGTGACACACTGCTTCAGCTGCGCCCTTCACAACACAAATCTCCCTCCCACTTGGAGTGCCGGCGACCCATCCTCCAGAATTTCCATGCTCCCATGCTCCCATGTTCGCACACTACCATACTCCCCATCCTATTCTCCCCTGCTCCCTTCTGTCCGCTTCCCTGCTCCCCTGCTCAAATGCTCTCAAGAAGCACACAGAAATCTGCAGGTCAGGCTGCGTGAACTCAAGAAACACACCGTACGCATAAATGATGGGTATCCTGCAGATCATAAACAGCTGGAGCACAAACGCCATGACAGCAGGAATTGCGAATGCAGTGCCAGTCCCCTCACCTCACTCCTCGTCGCCGTCTGGTGGCAACCTGGGGGAGGGCGGGGAGAAGGAAGTAGGTGGATTGAGAGGCAAGGAAGGCCAGGAGTAGGTGGTGCGGTGCCTCACATACGATCCGTAGCTGTCCCTATGAGTTCTCACTGTTCGCTTGCTGCGACAACAGGGTAAGATGGGGAGGGCGTGGCTGCGTGGGGGAGCAAGGCTGCGTGGGGGAGCAAGGCTGCGAGGTGAGGGGAAATGGCAGAAAACTGTTTTAAAAAGCAGTGATGAAGGCTTAGCGGGTCCTGTCCTCGTGAGCCGAAATTGAGTTTGCGATTAAGAGCAAATTCTTAGGAGTCGAGAGTTTCTTAAACCACCTGAATTTCTGGGAAGCGTTTTACGGTATCGTATCGTTTCCTTTGTTGCTTAAGCGTCCATTTCAAGTTGGCCGGCACACATGCTTCCCTGACGGCGAGTTTAGATCCGTTCGGTGGGCAAGCCAGCCAGCATGCTGGCTCGCTCGCCCCACCGCATGGATCATTTCCCTGAGGGCGAGGGGCGAGCCAGCCAGCATGTGCTCCCGTTGGTTGCCCATGTGGAACTGATCAATCGCCTGGTGAGGTGGCAGGGGTGAGGGGTGAAGCGCGGGGGGGAAAGAGGGGGGGATAAAGGGGAAGGGAAGGAAGAATGCGAATGGGCAGGGCTACATGTGCTGGCGCTGGCTGCTTATGTTGAAGCGGTCAGGTAAGGGAAGGGATGATGACGGGTGGAGTGGAAGGGAAGCAGGTAAGGGAACATCAGCACCAGGGGCGGGAAACGGGAGTTGGAAGAAAGTATGCGGTGGTTATGGCTGCACGTGCTCCAGCTGCTGCTGATGCTGATGCAGGATGGATGGGCGGACGGTTGGGGGGGAAAGGGCGGAGGGTGAGGGGGAATGGCGGAGGGTGAGCGGGAAGGGCGGACGGTGAGGGGGAACGGCGGAGGGTGAGCGGAAAGGGCAGACGGTGAGGGGGAAGGGTGGATGGTGAGGGGGAAGGGCGGACGGTGAGGGGGAAGGGCGGACGGTGGAGGGGAAGGGCCGATGGTGAGGGGGAACGGTGAGGGGAAAGGGCGGAAGGTGAGGGGGAAGGGCCGACGGTGAGCGGAAGGGCGGATAAGGAAAAAAGAAAGTGGTGGGCAGGGCTGCACGTGCTCCAGCTGGCTGCTCATGTTGACCCGGTCGCTGGCCTGTTGAGGAGTGAAGTGGCGAGGGTCGCGGGATGGAGAGAAAGGAAAGGGTGGAGAGGCTGAGGGGAAAAGCGGCGAGGGTGAGGGAGAAAGGCCGGAGGGCTGAGGGATGCGTGAGGAATGAGAGGAGAGTTGAGTGATATTACGAGGCATGACTACGGCGAAAGGCATGCGATTACGACGAGAGGCATGTGATTACGGCGAGAGGCATGCGATTACGGCGAGCAACGCTTGCAAAGGTGCGCCGCATGTGATTCGGCCGATTCGAAACGAATGGGATGTGGCGCGGACAAGGTGAATGAACGTACGGTGAGTGAACGTACGGTAAGTGAACGTACTGCGAGTGTACGTACCATGGCGAGTGAAGGAATGCGCGACGCTAATCGCCCGAACGACGCACGGTGAAGGCCCAGACGCGATTTGACGAGAGCAGCTAAGAAGCGATCTGTGTGCTTGTTCTCGTAGCTTGATGTAACTTGGTAATTTGGTATAAGAAGGATGGCCTGCACTCGCTTAGAGAAGGAGCAACTTTTCCCTCGTTCAATAGCCTGAAAACATCCACATATATCTCACAAGTATTTCACAAGTAATATCTAGTTAGGCAGTGTGATGTTAACTTCAGAACAAGAATCGACATTTTTTCTCCTGAAACGGATTTGTAATAGTAGTTGCGGATTAGAGTCACATTTGCAGTATTAGTCGTACCTGGCCATTTGTATGGTCCATTTTTCCACTATCAATTCTCCCCAGGATTTCTCTCAGCCTAGAAAAACATAATGTCAAGGTGTTTCATAGGCAGGTTCCTTGAGATCATAACATTTTTTGTAACATTTCTCATATGTCCATATTCTGTTCACCGTAGAGGTGGCACCGACAAAAGCAAACGCAATGTCACGAGTCCTGTGTGGTCAAACACATTCCGTTCCACCAAGCAGCAAAGCATGCATCCAGCAAGGCAAAACGGATTCCTAGCGCTGTACATATATAGTTTACAAAATCATTTTCATATTAAGTCCCAGAAACTGGCTTCACGCTTTTGAAAGAGGAAAAGGGAAAGAGGGAGAAGGAAAAGGGAAAGAAAGACACCAGAAACAACTCAAACGCAACACCCATAAAAAGCCCCATAAAAATACTCCATAAACGGATGGTGCGTTGGCACAAGAAAAACTCTCACGGATGGTGCTTTGGCACAAGAAAAACTCTCACACATTTTCATATCTTGGATCGTGGCTCACGACGGTTTCGCACGGTGAAATACGGTTCCCTGAGTTTTACCGTTTTGAACCGTACCAAAATAAAGTTGCCGCAGTGATCGTACAGAAGTTGACATCGTCCTTACATATACAAAAACAAAACCAAGCAGCAAATGTTCATTCCCAGCTTTTCACGGATGTCTTGCCTCGTGTCACGTCGTGTCCCCTTTCACACAATCTCTTTCCCGCGTTAGCTGTGCCCTGCAGTCCTAGTAGTGCGAAGCTCCTATGTGCTTTAAGGTCTATTTTAGTAGCTCTGTACTAGGTAGTGCATTTCTGCATGCGATTTTAAGCGCGAGTTGTGAGATGGATTGTGGCAAGGTCGTCGCGCTCCTGTG